GTTAAAAACATTTTAATTTGAAACTAGTCACTAAAGTAGAAAAGAGAAGCCACAATATTTGTTTCTGTAAAGCAACAGGTCATAACATCGTCCCTGAGGATTCTCCACCGGAGTCTTCATCATCTGAGCTCAGCTCCAGATGAAGAGTCTTCTGATCCTCGTCACCTCTGGAGGACTCGTCTCCGCCGCTGGACTGAGGGACAGACACGTCCATGTTGACTGAAACAGAGGAAACAGCTCAGTTATTGTCTGAAAACAAATCAAGATAAAGCAGCTTCACAAAGATGAGTTAAAGAGATTCCCTTTAACTTTCTCCAATCTGCCACTAGAGGCCGCCCTGTCAACAGTTTTACATGAGTTGGAGTCTGTTTATTTATTACTCAGCATGCTCATGTTATTTACACTGCTGACTTCAGAAGGAGTTTCCATGAGTCTTTGTTTCTGATAAATGTCTTGTATCTGTACTGACAAGTTTTCTTTTACTTTTGTCTGTAAACACAGAATGAGGTTTAACATAAACCTGACAAATCTGATTTTAACGTTATTCTGGTGATAAACAATAAAAACCAGCCGACATGATGTAACGAGGATAATATACAAGATATACCTGCTTTAAAACTGTTTTATTCAAATACTAAAGGAACTTGTTCTTCATGCTAGAGTTACTTCGGGGTGGAGGAGGGTCTCCGGTGCTGTTTACTTCCTTTAAAACACTTTCCAGGTTCAGAGGTAGTTGCATAACAATATTTGTATAACAGTCAATTATACAAACTGTTGTGTTGACGTGTTAAAGTTACATAAGAGCTCAGCTCAAACAAGAGAAACTCTTCAACAAAGCAGCAACTCATTCCCAGAGGAGCTGGGTGTGGTGGGGACGAACCCTGGAGACACACACACACACACACACAGTTCTCAATACAGAATTATATTATTATTATAAACTCTTCCAAGATAAACAAAAAAAGATCTAATTCTCTTTTGAATCTTCCTGCGGTGACACAGACTGAATTTCATCTTTGCATCAGAAAACACGGAGATAAAGACAGAAGAGAGAGAGAAGCTGAACAATCTGATCCCAAAGTTTAGTAAAACAAATTGACTGAAGTTATATTAGATTTGAACACCGGGATTAGTTTTCAGGATCATGTGTCGTTGTGCTGTTCGTATATTGTTGAGCTGTTCTCGTGTCTCAGTTTTAACTCCAGTGTTACATGTCCCGTTAACTCTCTAAATACCAGTCAGGCAGACGCTTGGCCTCCTAAAACCTGCGAAAACACTAGAAGACAAACGGACACTGGCTCAGTTGGTTTCCTGCATCTCTGTTCTGCTGTTTCGGAGAATAAGAAATATTTATCTTGAACCTCGTTAACATTGATTCTCTCCTGCAGCAGTTCCTCTCTCGCTCTCTCTGGATTCTTGTTCTTTCTCTCTAAATCAACAAAACTCCAGTCAACACATTCAGATGCTGAGGAGAAAGAAACCAAAGATTAATGACAAACATCAAACCATGTGAGCGTTGCTGGTGAACCGTCACGTGACGTCGGGGAATTCTCCAAATGTCTCCTGGCCCCTCGACGCCAGGTCTGCCGTCACCGTGGTGCAGGTCTGCAGGAGCAGAGGAGAGTTCACCTGAGCTTTGAATCAATACGTTTACAGTGTCTGTGCTTTTAAAATGGCTGTCGTGTAGTTTTTGCTGGTACCGTGTTTAATGCGTGTGTCTCGTTCAGTACCGGACGAAAACTGCAGGTGGCGCACCAGAGAGACTTACATTATGAAAACAATAAATTTTCTGAATCAACTTGCTGATCTGCCACCGGCTATTTCCTCATATTTATCACGGTGCAGCGGCAATGGCCCTCCCGTCACGTCCCCATACTGCCCCTACTGGTCATGTGCATATTGCATCTTGTGGGTGCATTTAATTTAACTTTAATATCTGAGGTTGTGAACGACTTCGTTTAAATGGATGCACGTCCCTTCGTGTAAAGAATATTTTAAGAGTATTACATCTCCTGTATTTGACAGTGAAGGAGAGGAGGGGAAAACCTGTTTGGGAGAGGTGGGAATCGAACCGGCGAGATGCCGCTTCAGGCCCTTTGCTTGTGAGGTCAAACAATCTTGTGTGTTCCACTGTGCACGTACCTGAGCGGCTGATGAAGGACAGTGTCGCCCTGAAGCCTCTGTGCGTGATGCTGCTGTCTGAAGAGAACTGGAGCACCACGACGTTGTGGAACGACAGAACCGGAGGAGGAACACTGCGACCGCACAGCACCGCTGCACAAAGTACACAATACAGCTACCGATGATCATGTGGTAACACAAAGGACGCAGAGATAAATGGAGGAGAGAGACGAGACTCTAGCATCCTCTTCATCCGTCTCACCCAGCTCCTCCGTTTGCTCCACGTCTGCCAGGACGGTGAGGGAATCGTACAAACATCTGTCCGACTCCTCGAGCTCGACGTCAGTGAACTCAACCCGGAACACAACAGAGTTATCACCAGTCTTTGATTTGTGATGTCACATCACGTGGCAGCGTCACGTTTAGAGTCACGCGGTCGGTTTCACGCGTCACCTTGACAACGTGACCCCGTGGAGCGTAGACGACCCAGCGGAGGACGCAGTCATTGCTGTAGGATTGTGGGTAATTCGGGCTTTGTACAACAGTCTCGTCTTCAATGAGAACAATTGTCCCGCAACCTGATTGTGAACACAGACACACACACACACACATTCAACAAACAACAGAGGTGGACATCCTGTACGTGCTAACACACAGTATGAGTATAAGTACACACTCAAAGAGTGAGAGTGTGTCAACCGGCAAATATTCTGCATTTTGTGTGTGTGTGTGTGTGTGTGTGTGTGTGTGTGTGTGTCCCACCAGGATCAGGGCGTCCCTGGACAGCACGATGCCTAATGATGAAGCCACTTCCTGTTCTGCTGACGTCTGAGGAGAAGAGAAGTGTTGCATTTTGGGAAAGACTCAGGAGAAGAGGGCTTTGTGGGACACGACCGCAGAAAATCCCTGTAAAATAATAAGAAGAAAAACAGTCCAACAATTCAGTGCGTTAAACCTGGTGTGTGTGTGTGTGTGTGTGTGTGTGTGTGTGTGTGTGTGTGTGTACCTCACCTACAGGCCTGTGGATCCCTGCTGACACGCTGAGTCGATCGTAGCGACAGTTGGATTCATTCTCCAGATCCAAGTGCTCCAACTCCAACAGGACAGAGTGACCTGGCTGAGCCGTGATACTCCACACACACAACCTGAACACACGCACACACACACACACACACACACACACAGTTATTAGACATACAATATGTTATGTACTGACATAGTTTAATGAATTGTGAATTTGTTTAAATGTTGTTTGATGATGTAAGAACACAACAAAATACACAACATGTTTGATTTTAGACATTTTAACGACTTGTTGCATATTTTAATTATCGACTCGTGTGATCACTGAATCAGAAAGTGCACATCGATCTTTGTTGGTCTGAATTTAAACAAAGAGCCAAAAGAAAATGTTTAAGATCGTAACACATAAACGTTTGACAGCGTTCAGTCACGATGTCACTCACTCGTTGTTGTCGTAGCGATCACCAGGGAGGGCGGGGTTTCTGATGACTCCCTCGCTGTCATTTACAGGCCCGTCGCTCACACTGCAGAGTCCTGATGTGCACACACACACACACACACACACACACACACACACACACACACGTGAGGAGCACATGCACTAAATACAGATGAACAACTGTGGCTGTGACGACAGATAACTCACCTGATGACGTCTTTCTCCGCTGCTGCTCATCAGCTGAACAACAAATCAAATCTTTATTTCAACAATTTTATAAAACAACAAACTCAGATTTTGAGTTCCTGGTGTGTCAAAGTCAGAACTGCTGAATTTCCCGTGATGCAACCAGCATCAAATTAAATTTAGTGAAAATAAAAAACAGTTCATGCATCAGGATAAAAATGAGGGACGATAATAAAACCCCTCGTCCGACTCACCCTGTCGTAGTTCACGTTTGATCCAGGGCAGCAGCAGCCTGACGTCAGTGAAAACCCCAGGAGAGCCTCTTCTGGAAGGAGGGCGGATGCTGTTGTTGCCCCAGCTCCGACCACATCCTTTACCCCAGGAGGTTACACCCAGCGCCACCCTGTGACCTCCGCCTGACCCTGCAGGACATACCAGAGGTCCCCCGGAGTCGCCCTGCGGGGGAGTAATGATGGGATGGAATGAGATTTATATGTTTAGATGAAGCATCAGTGGTTTCAGTAGATTTCTACCTGACAGGCGTCTCTCCCTCCTCGCTCCGCCCCCGCACACAGAACCGTCATGGCGGACTGAGGTCGGGCCGGCCCTCGGAGAGTCTGGAGGACGTATTTACACTTGGCCGGATCCACCAAGTCCAATTGGATCTCTCTCAGAACCGCAGGAAGACGGCCTCCTGTGAAACCACAGTAGAAGAGATGTTCCTCTCTGCTTTTACAAAATCTGGCGTGGGGGTGAGAAAATGACATACTTTCCTTTATCCTGCCCCATCCACCCACAATGCACCTGGTCCGAGGGAGGGTTTTCTCATCAGGTAAAGGTAAACATATCGGCTGGACACGGATCCCTGTGGTAAAAGTCACATGTCATCCATCACTGATCCGTTTTGACCACATTCGATCAAACTAATCGTCAGAGTGGAAACCTGCCGAGCCGGATGTGTTGATCCAGCTCCACCAGAGCTATGTCGTGGCCCATGGGCAAAGCATGATGGTACTTCTCGTGCACGGTGACGCTCTTCACACCGAAGACCTGCTCCTCCTCATCGTCCACTCTGCGGTCAAACTCTCCCGCGGCCACGCTCACGCCTCCGAGGAACTCTCTGAGCAGATTCAGTTTGTTAGTGTCGGAACAGACAGGAGGTCGTGAAGGTGCCGGTGAGTGAGGCCAGAACCTGGAGACGGACGAGAAGCAGTGAGCGGCCGTCAGGATCCAGCGCCCGGTCAGGATGGAGCCGCCACAGAAGTGAGAGCCTCTGAGCCGCAGGGACACCTGAGAGAGACGGAAGCTCAGAGGAGACGAGTGCATGTTGAATCAAACTTACCGTGCGCTCATCTAATGACTCTGAAATATAAAATGAAAATATCGACTGAAAACAAAGATGGCAGCTCCCTGAAAATGAAGCCAAAACACCCGGATTGCCCCCTGGTGGCTGCTTATAGTCGAGGTTATATGCTGTCCTGCCACCTCCATGTTAGTAGGTGGGACATGGACCAAACTAACAAGTCAGAATGCACATAAAATAAATTGGTTTCTGGGAAACAGAGGATTTAAACACTGACCAGCCACGGGTGTGATCCGTACGTGGCCTCGCTCCCTCCCACCACCCTCACAGACGGATCCGTCGGCCCCCGGCCCTGTGGGACTCCACATTTTACACCTGCCGAGAAGAAAACCTCTCAAACATCTCACCTTCGTTGTGTTCAGTGTTTTATCATCTGTCACTCACCTGTTTGAGCTGCAGGGACGAGAGAGTGGAACCAGAAAGAGAGCGAGAGCAGAGCAGCGGCGGCCCTCATCACACACACACACACACCAAGAGAGACTGACCTGATGTGAGTGTGTGTGAGGGCAGATAGTCGTCTCTGAAGGTCGACTGTGTCGTGTTCTGAACACAGAGACACAAACATCCCGGTCGCTGTTTAACGACAACAGTCGTAAAACGCAGACAAAGATCCAGGGGAGGATAAAACCGCTTCCGCTGCACGGGCTGACGTAAATGTGGAGAAATCTAATCAGTTGCGTGTGTTTGATTTCGGGAGAACGTTCGACTGTTGGACGGAGAAAGTTCTACGTTGAAGAATTTAGTTTTCTGTTCTTTGTGTTTTCATGCGTCAGGTTTGCTGTCGCTCTGAGTCACGGAGCTCTTTGTGAGAGTTTGACCTTTGAGGCAAAGCTTCATGAGACGGAGACAGAAAAACTAGAGAAGAGCAGAAATCTCACTTTGAGTTTGTTTTAAATGTGATCACAAGCATTTTAAAATCAATC